ACGAAGCTGGAGGAGCCGGTTCTGCGCAGAAGGTGTTGGTCTCCAAAGCTTCTCAGCCAAGAAGAGCTTGAAAGGCAGCAGAGCAGTGACTTCAGGTCTCCTTCCCCTCCGCACGCCCTGAAGGAGCCACATTGCCCCATTCTCCGCGGTGCGCTTTGCAGAGAAATAGATGACAAAAAAAACAGCTCCGCACGGCAAAGCAGCGGCACCGCATGGAAGGCAGAGCACGAGGTTACACCCCTGCCACAGGGACGCACGAGGGGCAGATCCCGTTCCGGCAGGGATGCAACGCTTCAGGCTTGCAGAACTAACCAAGCGAGGAGCAGAGCCAGGATTCCCAGCAAGAACACCACAAACCCCCCTCTGACCTGATCAAAGTCCTTCCAAGAGCAATGCAACAACCTCCAGTGCCAGGGAGACATCCCAGCACAGCCTGAACCTCAAGCGACACCGAGCAACAGCGCGTCTGCTGCTGCAAAAGGTCTTTTAAACGTGCAGCAGCGCACTACCCGCTCCTGAGAGTTAAGCCCTCGTAATAGCAATTAATGAGAACAGAGAGGACCAACAAGCCTCGAGGCAGCCCCAGCAGCACCCGACCCCTGAGAGAGAGGAGGTTCCTCAGGTGAGAGGTGCTCTGGCCCAGCAGCTGCCTTGCTCGCCTGGGACGCAGGGACGGACAACACGGAGCACGCTGCTGCCTCCGAGCCAACGACCCCTTTCCCTGCATCGTGCATTTATCATCGTAGGAGAGTTCATTTCCCACGGAATTAAGCTCGCACGGAAAGAAGACAAACACTGAAGCAGACCCAGGTCACGGTGGCGGATGCTCATTTACAGTCGGGTGCTCACAAATCCGTCTTTCACCCGTTTTATGCTACTCTCAGCAGGTACAAAGAAAGCACCACCCTCAGCAAAGGAGGTACGCAGGGACCAGACCACCAGAGGCAGCGAGGGCACGCTTACTGCATCAGGACAGACATTAAGGACGCGAGTAAGCACTGGGAGATGACATCACCAGCAGAATTACCTCAGAAGCAGAGGAAGAAAGAGATGAAGGTCACATTCCCGGAGTCGCAGATCTGTGAGGAATCACACACACACACACGCTCCTTGCAGCTCGTGAGGCGTTTCTCACCGCGCCTGAGGCCCCAAGGTCAGACGAAGAAAAAAAAAACCCCCCCCGCCCCCGGGCCGCGCCAGCCACGCCGGCGGGTTTAAGAGCTCGGTGCAAGAGCCCTTCACCGCGACAAATGGGATCCAGGTCAGAGCCCGCGAGGGCCGTGACGGCTCTTCAGCCTCTACAAAGCCAAGGGGGCAGCGCCGCCCCCCAGCCCGGAGCAGCAGAGCCGCTCCCTCCTCAGGAGGGCAAGAGTTGAGCGGGCGGGAGGACGCTGCCTCGAGCGCGAGAGCCCGCGGAGGCACAGCGTAAGCCTGTCTGCTGACGCTAAGACCTGATTTTCAACGCTGCCAAATTGATTTTCTCATGGAAGCACAAATTCACAAGGAGCTTTTTGTCAAAAGTAAAAAAAAAAAATAAAAAAAAAATTCAATCTATTAAAAAAAAATGGAGACAGGCTTGTGTTTCTAATCCAAATGTACTTCTCTTTATTCAAACCAGGGGTAATCACTGGTTAGTGCAAAATGCACCTAAACCTTTGCCTGAGGGAAATCTACATCTTAACAAGGCCTCCGTTAACCCCTAATGAAATCCACAGAGGACTGGAAAGCGTGCGAAGCCCAGATCCAGCGCCGCGCTTCGGAAGTGACTCTGTGCGTCAGCAAGTCTGCACCTGCCTCGTTACCGGTTCTACACCGTCAGGTAACAAAAGCAAAACACACTCAGTAGATTTCTTTTAACTCCCCGAGTTTCTGAACCATCCACCCCACCGGTAATGTCAGGAGTAAGGGGGTTGCAGCTTACCCTCACTTCCAACAGTGCTAACGGAAACCCTGTTTTAAATTAAAAAATAAGCCAGCATACATAGTAGAAAATTTCTCTTAAAAATTTCACAATCTGTAAATGTATATATTTTTTTTCTTTTAAACATAAAAGTTTACAATATACGGTAAAACAAAGGCTCAGGAAAAATAATTTCAAAAAAAAGAAACCTGAAGTTTTGAATTAAAGCTGAAGACATTTTTAAAACCCTGTAGTTTGAACCAGTGACATTTTCTTTATTTGTGCTGATGGGTTAGAGAAAGGAAAATATTTAAAAACTGCAGTCCAAACACCCACAGCTTTGCCTTCAGAAGCCATCTTCCCCCACCCCCCTCAGAAAAAAAAAAAAAAAATGTTGTTAGGTTTTTCTTCCATCAAGTATGTGATTGTCACAAGTTCAGAAGTCTGGGAGTCCTGGGTTCGGCTGGTACCAGACATCCCTGTGGACAGAATTCCCTGATTGCCAGCCCACGCTAGCGCCGGTAGGGGTGAAATCCTTGCACGTTATGGTTCTGTCCTCGTCCAAAACCGCTGCCTCCCGCCGGCGGGCCGCTGGAGGGTTGCACCGAGGGGCCTCCGTAAGGAGGGGGCTGCTGGCTGGGATCAGAGAAACCTTGTCCAAACCCACTCAAGTCTTGTCCGTAGCCTGGGGAGAAGGGAAGAAAGGCAGCAGGGTCAGCTCCGGGTATCGTCCAGAGGCACAACAGCAGAGGTGCAAACGCAAACCCCGACATCACTCCCTCCCCTTGCACGGCCTCGGGACCAAACAGCTCCGTCTCACATTTCCCGTTAAGCAGCTGCTTTCAGTTCTTGCCATTATTTACCTTCTGTGCAGAAGAAAGACACAAAGCAGACCTGAGTAACGAGGCAGAACTGGTAGTTTTTCACTGTCTGAGGCAACGCCCCGCAGGCTGGGAGCTGAGCTATCCTAGCGCGGCTGGTCGGGAGCCTGGA